GACCCAGCTGGGCCACTGCTCTAAGCCTCGGTGGTGCTACCTGGTGTGGGGCTGGCACAGAGCGGCAGCAGCCACCTGAGACATCCCATAATCACCTGGAGACGCCAGCACCTATCTGCTGCTCTGACGCAGAACCTCCCAGGATGCAGGGCTCTCACTGGCCTACATGCATTTGTTCCTGCACCTCGTGCAGGGTGCTCTGATGCAGCAGCAACTGGCGCCGGCCAGGAAACCAGAGCACAGGGCTGAGGGACACAAGGCCTGGCGGCCCCTCCTGCTTGCTTTGTGGCTGCTGGCACAGAAGCAGCGAGCAGTGCTGGGAGCACCATGCAGGAGGCAGGGCTGGGATACAGCGCGCAGACCCACGGCATGGGATGGACACGGGTGGGCTGCAGGGCTATTCCAAACACACAGGCTGCAGCCCAGCTCCTGCATCCCACCCGGCGTGGGTCTGACCTCGGGATGGGAGGCAGAGAGCTGGGAGCGCTCTGCTTCAGCCTTGCTGTCATTAATATGGTTTATGACATGAATATTTATAAGTGAGGATGTGATATTAAAAGCGTACACACATGAAATATTAATATGGCACATGTCATAACTGCAAACCCAACAGATAGGTGTGAATGATGACACTGTAGCTCAGCCATCACCACTTCCACTGATAGGTCTGTAAATGGTAAATAATATTAACTAATTAATCTTCACAGCCCTCCTTGGAAGTTTTGAAGCAAATATTTGCTTACAAACCGTGTGCAGCTCCTCTCTGTGGGCAGCAGACCAACACGGAGCCGCTGCTGCTCACAGCACTGCCCTGGGATGGGCTCTGCTGCTGGGAACGCTGCGCTCCAAACAGCCGTGCTCTCCGGAGGCTCATTTACGAAGCGATGGAAGTGACAAGGGAATAAAAGCCATCCTCATCCAGCAAAGCGCTAACAATAATGCCGCCTCCATTTATATCTTATGTCACGCCTTTCATCCAAAGCTCTTAAAGCACTCACTGCACTGAACAAATACCAGCCCCGGTGCGGACGCTTTCCCAAAGGCCCCGGGTCGGAGCCAGGAGGAGCTCCCTGCAGCCCCCTCCTTCCAAAGGCTGCAGGCTCCATCCCAGCTCCCCGGCGCGGTGCAGCAGGCACAGCTGTGCTCCGGAGGACCAAAGCAAGCAATCACTGCTATATGTTTTAACTGCTCTCCTCAAAACCGCTTAGCGATGTCTTTTTAAACACATGTGACCTTGCTCTACTTGAGAGAGACGGCGATAAACAAATAATTGCTGTGACTCTTAATTATATTTATATCTCATCTAGAAAAATGTCAATTAGAACTTCAGAGGTCAACTGCAAAACTGAGGTTCTGGCAGTCGGACAGTTCAAAAGGCAGTTTTACTCCTGAGAAAAGCACCCTCCTCGGCAGAGCCCGGCAGCTTCTGGCTGGCAGCATCACCTCTCCTTGCAGTGAGCGCAGGGTCTGCACACCGCCCCACCTGGGCAGCAGCACTGCCATGGAGCGCGGTCCCTGAGCTCTGTGCTGGGCTGGGGAGATGCTCTGAGCACCCGACGTGGGATACTGCTCGTGCAGACAGCCTGTCTGTCTTTAATTTTGTTTAGTTTTAAGATTAAAGAAGCCCAAATCACATGCTGTCACTTCCCTCCTCTCTCCCCTGCCATTCCTAACCACGTGAGAGTTAATTGATATGAAAATAACTCTGGGGGCTGCACGGCTTTGGAAAACATATAGCATTACATTTAATACCAGCAATTATGACTTGGGGGATTCAATCAGTCAAAATCTTTATTTTCCTTTCTGCACACTCAAGCTGTGGGACTGCTGCAGCACAGCGCACAGCCCTACAGGCAGCACAGGGTATGGGCACTGCCCACATCAGAGCACCCCAGTGCACCACCTCACCCCATCACCTTCTCCTGACTTGTGTCCACCTACATGCTTAACAGCCACAGAAAGAAAAGGGAAAAAGGGGTTCCTGAGCAAATTCATCCATCAGGAGACACTGCACTCCTCTTTCCCTTCTGCTAAGAACCACGGGTGGGGAGGAGATGAGCCTGCTCCCGCAGCCCTCGCTCGGCAGCCAGCAGCTCCATGCAAGGCACCCCCAGGGATGTGCCCCACAGCTGTCTGTGCAGCGGAGGCAGAAGGGCATCATCATCTTGCAAGGTTCCCTCCAACCCCAAAGATCAATAACTAATGCTGAACTCAAGATTTTATCTGCTCTTTGCAAGGGTAACGAAATAACACCACCCTCGGTTCTTCTTTCCAATTACTGAATCCTTTCAAGACTGACCCAGTAATTTTCAGCTCTGAGAAATTTTAAGCAGCAAAGAAAGTGATGGAAGTGATCTTCCACAGCACTTACACAACTTGTGTGCTTTTTCTCCCTGTACAGAAATATAGAAGTACAGTGCAGGGTGCAGAAATTCCACATTACCCAAAAACAAATCATAAAAGGTGGTACAGACAGCGGCCTTCTACACATCCACCCTTTGCATCCCACTGCTGAGCACAGTGAGCACGCCCTGAGGAGCAGCCTTGCAGCCAGAGCCTGGTCCCACCAAGGTCAGACTGCTTTACCAGCAGAGCTCCAGGCAGCGAGCGCTGCTCCCATGGCAGTGCACAGAACTGGCAGCTGCCCACCAGCGTGGCGAGGCAGAGAAGCAGGAGATGCAGCAGCTCTGCCTCTCACTTCCTTCACAGACCATGAAGGAATGATGGGGTATCAGAAAACAAAAGGACATCACAGGGGAAACAAAGTGGTTTGCTTGATAATATTTTAACGGGTATAAAAGTTCTGTGCTCCATTGGCAAGGTCAGTGTCTTATTTGAGGCCTCCCAAGGCATTGCTGACACTGCTCAGCACTGAGCAGCTCTGGGACTGCCTCCATCTGTGGGGGTTACATGTGAGCACGGCCGCACCAACTGCTACCGGAGCACACAGGCAGCACACACGGGACAGCCTTACACCCACAGACATCCTCCATTTGCTCGCAAGGAAATGTATCTCCCTTCCAGCAGCAGAGTGAATTCTAATACTTCTCCTTGCCCACGTTGATCATTCTAGGCATACACTAACTACAGTAAACCACAGCGGATATTTTATCTGCCATTTCTCTTTCCCTTGGCTAATTTGACGATACAGATTGCAACCCACAAGTGGTTTTAAGAATTGCTATTAACGCTGCTGCTCGCATGCTACTGCATTTTAAACGTGTTTCCAACACAATCAGAATGTCACAATTTGTAAAATCCAGGGTGATTTTATAAACGATCGATGCCACAGAACCCGCTCCGCGATGACAGCCTGCCCGGCAGCTCATTAGCCTGATTAGTGGCAGCTACCTGCACAGGGAAGGAGAAAATGTCTGGGGAGACAGGCTCGGCTCAGACACGAGGCCAAAGACGGCTGCACCTCCTGAGTTGTTATGCTTGCTTCTTCCTCCCTCCACTCCATGGCAGAGGTGAAGGTCAGAGCTCAGCCGCAGCGTCCCCCTGCTGCAGGGCTGGCTCCTTCCAGCAAGAATTCGGGCTGATCCCAGCAGAGCTGCCCTTGGGCTGTGAGTGACAAGGGCCCGCTGCTGACCAGGAAGCTGAAGCAGCCGTGGCTGAGACAACAGCTGTGTCAATTGAGCGAGCCCCTCCGAGAGCCACCGCGCAGACATGGCCGGAGCGTGAAGGGCAGAGGACAGACCTCCAGCTGTGCATCCCTGCAGGAGCCACGAGCTGTGCTGCCTCCAAACATGCTTTGAGAGAGCAGGAGGAGTCAGCACCCATCGGTCCCACTGGAAGGGAATGGTGGCACAGTGCTCCTCATGCCCCTGGAGCTCCCCAGCTGCCAGGGCTCTGCTGGAGCTCTGCTCCTCAGTGCGAGGCGCTCACCCGCACCGCAGCATCATTTATTTCTGCTGAAAGAAAAGGCCGTAACGCTGAAATAATCCTCAGCTCATTTTCACAGAGCTCTACAAGCAATGATGAAACCTTATCTGTCCACTGAAATATGTGGATGGGATTCCTCTTCTGGAGATCTTGCTCACTCTGTTATCGATGCACAATGAGCAGCCCCAAGCTTCACAACCCAAGCACACCTGAAACCCCAGCAAAGGGCTCAGTACCCTGATATCCTGGTCTCAACCTACTACTTTACACCCAGCTCACCCCAACACCCACCGCCCTGGTACAGCCTCTGTGTGTTCTGTGACACAGGTGGATCCAGGGAGTCCAGCCACGGTCCTCAAGCTTTGCAAGCCCACTTGGTCACCTTTCCCACAGCCATATGTAAATGATTCCATCTGAGCCAGCAGCCGGGCCTCACTGACTCTGGGCCAGGGAACATCACTTCAGGTTCCCTGAAAAGCAGCCCCCAGCCAGCACCCCCAGTGCCACCAGCACGTCTGGATCTCAGCACTTGTGTGCCACATGGCAACAGCTGGTGTGAGCCCAGCACCACTGCAGAACGCCGAGCTGTGAGCGTGGCTCTACTAGGAGCACTGCAAACAGAGGGCAGGTGGGCAGCACAGCGACCAGCGCTGCAGGGATGCCGTGTGTGCAGGGAAAAGGAGTGTAAGCAGTTCTCCCAGCAGGGCTGGGACTGACCCTGCTTGGATGCACATCCCATGGGGCCAACAGTGGGGACACAGAGACTTTGTCTTGTTTTGATGCAGCTCTGTTCCCTGTGCCACACGCTGGCGCTGGGCTTCACCACCTCTGGGGACAGCAGAGAGCCTGACAGTGATCCTCCCAAACGTAAGTCATCAGGCTGACCACAGAAATCACCTCCAATACGAAAACCCACATGGGACGTGGCATTACATGCCACACAGCCCTTCCTCCGTATGCCTGCAGGACACAGGGAGCTGTCTGAAGCATGAGGAGCTCTGCTGATTTAGCTCCACTGCATTTAGCCACATGGTCACCATGCTGACACTGATTTTGGCTGTGCTCAGCATGCCGACTCTGTCACAAAGGTGATGGCTGAGCTGCTGCTCTCTTACCTCTATGCCTGTTGGTCGTCTTGTCAAACATAAGCATGGCGTCCTCTACCTGCAAGACACAAGGGAGAGGCGTGCTTAACACACCCAGCTGGGTTGGCAGAGGCACACAAACACAGCGGGATGACGGTGGAGGCCTCGGCTCAGGCAGCGCAGGTGCATCACATCTCCTTCCTCTGGCTCAGAGTCAGCATCACCCCTTGGAAACCTGCTGCTTCCAACCTGTGTGCTCGCTGACATCTGATCCTAAAGCAGAAAAGTAACGTTAGCAGTACTGACACCCTACAAAGCCCAACGTCTGGGCGGCCCTTCCAGCTCGCCATGCCCCACCTCGGCCTCTTTCCCTTTTGTAGAGATAAAGGAGGGCTGAGGAATCATGGATGCAAATCACGCCCGTGACTTCTCCAAATCAGCGCTGCTGCCTTGGCTGTGAATTGGGAGGTTTCAAGGAGCGGGAGCAGGGCAAAATCTGGTCAGCCAAGAAAGGTATTCAGAGGGTTTCAAAGGGCCCTTTGAAAAGCTGGAGGAGAGGGCAGAGGGAGGGGGGAGAAAGTTTAATTCGCATCAGGCCTGGCATTTCCACTTCAGAAGAGAGATGACTGATGAAACGTACTGAAGTGCAACCAAATTGCTTTCAACTTTCATTACTATTTGCATGATTTATTCCACCTCCGTTTAATCTGTGTAGCCACACCTAACATTTTAGAAGGTTGTTGGGCTGGGATTTCTCATCATGTTTTGAACCGGTGCTCAGGGACTGCGGGTCAGTCCTGCATGCTGCAGGAAAGGTCCTGCAAGCTCTCTGAAAAGACTTCCAGGCTTGCTCCTTGTTTGAAACCAGGGGCTGATGAAAACCTGCACCGTTGCTAAACTGCAGGAGACATCAGGAATGGTTACCTTTTTAAGGTTTTCTTCCATTTGTTTTTTTTTTTCCCCCCACTCATTTCTAGGAGATTTTCATGTATTTACACTCAGGATTTCTATAAACCATGCACCTTAGAACAGCTCACAACATCCCCACACGCTCCCCTCACCTGTGCAATGCCACCACGGACTCCTCCTCCCATCCCAGCAGCCCCTGCCTGCTCTGTGCAGGTGGCAAAACCCAGCTCGAGCCTCTCTTAACTGCTGCATTAAAACACACTCCAGGATACAGCAAAAAAGCAGAGCAGCAAAACCTTTTGTTATACCATTTAGAAACCTGCCTCTGGTTACCTTGCTCTTAAGTTCTGCAAAGTGCTTTGCAAAGTGTGTTAGCGACAGCTGGAGACAGAGAGCAGCGTGCCTCCCTGATGCCAACCGTCCGTGAGACCTAACAATGCTGATGCAATGGAAATCCAAACCACATTAAGCACAGAGCCAATTGTCCTGCTGCCTCTCATCACTTGGAGGAAGAAGATTCACAGGTCTGAGCAATACTGGGATGCTGATAAGGACGGCGCTCCACCCACCACAACCACTTATGTCCAAGTAAGGTTACATCTGTACAGCAGTTCTTAACTGTCATTCTCACAGCTCTTGGCCTCACTGGCAATAAGAGTGACCCCTTGCACTCAGTGCCAGTTCTGGAGACCCAGAGATCCCCGACTGCAGCTGGGACCCTCAGGCTGGAAGCCCGGGTGGGAGAAGCAGCTCCCGCAGCCGGTGTCAGGTTTGGATAGAGCGCACCGGTAACGAGCAGTAATCAGGGGGGTGTTCTTGGAGCCAGCTGGTGCCCTTCTAACAATGCCTAATTGGTTATCCTTTCTGCTTCCTAAGGTCAGAACATTTTATCTCCGTCTCTGCCCTTTTGGAGTTTACCCCACCCTGCGTTATTTTGTAGGGCAGCCATTGTAGCAGAAGAATAGGCTCTTTCCTCTATAGTCCGGTGACACAATGAGACTTCTTGAAACCTCCTGAATAGACAGAGTGCAACGGCCAAAGAAAAATTCTATTAATGCTTTGCAAAATAAAACATCTAAGAGCCGGTCAGACAAGCAGGAGAGGAAAATCAATACGCAGAGGGCAGTGCTTAGAGAAACTTTTCACCGGTTGCAAAAAGGTGGTGAGGGTACAGGAGGGAGAGGGAGAAAGAAACTTATTAATGCAGAAAACCCATCAATGGTATGGAAATCTGGCAGAACAGCAAGAGCTGAAACTGGAAGAATTTGAATATACAAAGGGCTGAATAGAATGAGAAAACCACACTGCCTCACACACTGCCCGTTTCTCACGGTTCTCTGTGAGCCTAACACAAGCGGCTTGTTCGAGCCTTCACCAAGGAGAAATAAGGGACGCAGTCAAGGTAACTGGCAGGAAACCCCGTAGTAAGCAAACTGATCCCTGCTGCAAGGGGAGAAAAAACACAAAGCCTGCAGATGAAACTCAAGGCGTTCGGTAGCGGTGACCCTCCTGAAGTTAACCCCTCTGCAACGCGGCTCCTGCGCTGCCCAGCGCTCGGAAGCTGCTCTGCAGGGAGGGCTCTCCCAGACTCAGCCCAAAGCCCGAAGCCTCACTCTGTGCTGCAGGAAGTTTTCTGCAGGGTCGAAGCGGGGCTGCAAGGCCCAGCAACTCCCACTCCCGTCCCCCCTTCCAGGCCCTTCCCCCCCCAGGCCTGGCTGTCTGCAGTGCAGAGTGCCGCAGGGCCATGCACCCCACAGCACGGGGCTGGGGCAGTGCTCCAAGGCAGCCCTGACCAGCGCACACTGCTATGGAAGCCAGTGTGAAGGTCTGCGTTACAGCGCTCAACTCAGAGGCTGAAAGGTGCTGATGAATCCTACCTAATAACGAGCAACAAATGAGAGAGCGTTTGGGAACGAACACAGTGTCTCTGCACTTACAGCAAAGGAAAGAAAGAGTTGCACCCAAGGCCAGGAGCAAATGGACGCTGCGCGGATCTGAAAGACTTCTCCTCTGCACAGCCCACCCCTACCTACACCCATTTTAGACCCGGCTTCTAACACAAAGCCCAGGCAATGGGTTTTGGTTCGTTTAACTTTTTCCAACCTACTTGGGGCTCTGAAAACAGGAAGGGCCAGAGCATTGCTTTAATCACCGCCTGGAAGGAGGAATAGGGAATAAGAGGAGAAAAGAGAAAAAAATGGGGGAGCCAAAGGCTTTAATAATCCTAACAGCTCCAGGCTTATTTAAAATATGCCCAACTAGTTCACAAAGGGATCCGCAGAGATAAATCTATTTGATTTTCTTCCACTTTAATGGCGACATATATTTAAAGCAACCAAACCAGGATGACCTAAATAAGATGACTATTAATTGTACTCAGAAAAGCTCTGAATTTAATGCAACGGATCCAGCCAGAACTAGAACACACGCTTTTCTTCATTCATTCCTCCCACTTTCCTCTGACGGATTTTCAACTCCTCTCCTTTGCGCGGGTCCATCCTGAGCGGTCAGAGATGATCAAACCCGGCGCAGCCCATCGCCGCTCGCGCCCTAATGAGTGAGAAGGCTGAATCCTCTCTGCAGATGAGAGGCAATTCCGTGAGTTTGCCCAAGGACAGCAGTTTCAATCAGCCACCGCAGGCAGCTGAATCTGCCGCAAAATCAGTGAATACTCAGCCAGAAAACGGCAATGACTCGAACTGGGGATTTTCTGGGAAGCTTCGTGTCTGGTCTTTTATTTCTGCAACCTGGATTTGGGCGCTGGGCCACATCAGCTGCACTCAAACCAGAGCTGTCACCGGTTCCCACAGAGACCACCCTGGGACAGCCCAGGACCACCCTGTGCAGGAAGGGAGCGCAGCCCCGTGTCCCGCACAGCCCAGCGCTCTGCACTCACACGGCCCCGCAGACCCAGGGGGCAGTGGGAATAAATGCAGCCACTGTGGCTGCTGTTATTTACAGGGTGTCTGCGTGCAGGCACAGGGGTGACAACAGCCCCTATTTCATGTTCCCAGTTCTTTTTTTTTCCCCTTTGAATCAAGTTTGCTCATTCGGTGCAACCTCCACGGAGAAACCACTGACTTTCACAGCTCTAACCAACACACAGCAGCCTTTATTCCTCACATCTCCTGATCCAGTCCTGGCAAGCCTGTCCTGATCCAAAAGCTGAGTTCCTGACATATCCTGAGCAGGTGGGGACCCCCCCCATCCCCAGGAAGCAGGGCAGGGCTGGGCTGGGGCTGCTCTGAGCTCTGCAGCCCCGCAGGGAAAAGCTTTGGGACAGAGAAACGAAGCAACGCACTGCGATCTAGCGCCGTGCCCATTCGGATGAGGCCCTGGGAGAACAGGAACTACACAAGGATGACACCCAGTGACATGTGTTGTGCTGTGTTCCTACCCCTCTGTCCCAGGTCTGCAAACTGTACAGGTCTGTCATCTTCAGCTTTTCTGAGAAAGAGCGCCGGACGTTCTTGTCCAATTCCTCAAATTATTTACACACACTGCACAACTCCTACAATATTTTGCTTCTAGAAGCAGAAAAGCCTCTTAGCTGCTAGTAAACTGTCAGGTGCTATTATTTTAAATGTGCATGTGAAATCTGAGTGCCAGCAATGCGCCCCTGCTGATGTACGGCCTCCCCCCGCACAAACTGAGACAGATACGTACTGCACGCCAGAAAAAACAGTTCCCCCAGCGCAGGCCAAAAACTGTGACCACGATCACGTTCCCTACGGCCACGGCTGCGTGGCAGCAGAACGGCACCCGCAGCACATCGCACATTCGCACACAGCCGGGGGCCGGGCGCACGCGGGGCGGTTCCTCACTGAGCGCATCCCGACGTCCCACGGCGATGTCTCACCAAGCCACGGCCTCGTGCACCGCGATAACAATCAATGCCATACTGTGCGAGAGCAAATTCCAGCACTAGCAATCTTTCCCCCCAGCAGTCAAGTCTTTAAAAAGTCTTCTTTGGCAATTATAGCTAATAAAACTACAATTTCATTCAACGCACACATATCATTGCAACTAATTTTGCTCCGTCAGGGCTGAAATTAAAACCGTCATTCAATCACAGCAATCCCAGGGCTCGCCCCCAGCCGGGACGCAGCCAGGCGCTCCCACCCGCTCCCACCCGCGGCCGAGGCGCCGCTCAGCTCGCGCTCTCCCAGC